ATTAACATTTACTGGACAACATGAACACCGTGGTTACTTATGTAAATCAATATACTAACATTAGATGGTAAATCCAGAATTCATGATCTTTTCAGAACTACATTTAGTGTTCTATGAGGTAAAGAGAAAATAATTTCTCTCCTGCAAGTCATATAGGAGTAATCATTGAAATAATAACTATTTTAATGAAAAGGTCTTAAATAATCAATCTATGTAGATATTAGTACTTGTAAATCTAATTTTTTTGCTCATTGTGCTCATTAAATTCCTGTTGGAATGGAGATTGACCCAGAGGTTTTGGTGCCTCTCCACTTTCGGCCCCCCTTAACATTTCCTGGCTACGCCTCTGGACATGTAGACAGTATTCTAACCGGTAAATTATCTACTTTACTTTATATCCGTAATGAAATAACCCAATATCATTTATCCTTATCTAATATAATTAATATTTATTATTAAGAACTTCGCTGCTCAGTGGAGCAGTGGGTAGCACTGCTGCCTTGCAGCAAGAAGGTTCTGGGTTCGATTGCCAAGGTCTTTCTGCATGGAGTCTGCATGTTCTCCCTGAGCATCCGTGGGTTCTCTCTGGGTACTCCGACTTCCTCCCACAGTCCAAAAACAGGACTGTTAGGTTTAATCAGACCTGTCCAGGATGGACCCCCCCTCTCTGTTCAGGATGGACCCCCCCCTCTCTGTTCAGGATGGACCCCCCCCCTCGCCCATTGACACCCAGGGGTGCCACCAGGAATTTAGGGCCCCAAGGAAAGACATCGATATTGGGGCCCCCGCCAAAAAAAAAATGTAGGCAAGCTTTAAAATGAAAGAAACGGAGCCGCTGGTGGATGATCTGTTTACATGATGAAGGAGAGTTACCTAAATATCTGCTAAACATCTCCTAGCGATTAGCTGATGCTAACCCTCTGATGGTGCTTTTTTTCCGCCTGCTCTGGTTGATAAATGGACGCTCTCATCCCTCTGAGCTTTCTGGCTTAGTTGTTTGGCCTCTGGATTATTTACAGACACACCATAGGCTCAATAAATGCTGCATTCTTCATCCGTTTCTATTTGCATGTTTTCTAAACTAAAACCAGGCTTTGTTGGGCTGCTGGATAAAACCTGGAACTAAACGCTATTTCTGACATTTTAAATTGAAAAATCTTCCTGGATGGAAGAGAAACGTCTTCAAACTTGGAAACAAAGTCCAGTGGATTGATTTTGACTTTTTTGGAAAGTCAAGTCAAGTTGTAAATTCCTCATCACAGAATTCATATAATCAGAAGGTAATATTTTCCACATCCACGGAGAGCTCATCCAGAGGGTTTTCCAGTGTTAATACTGTACTGATGATTGACCTTAGTGTTGCAGCACTGAATGCAGAAACATGATATGCTTGAGAAAGACCCGACCAACTCGTTCTGCCGTGTGAAAAATTTAGCAGCCCTTGTTTGAGGCATCAGTGAGAGGAGAGAATGTGAACGGATTGGTTCCACTTATCATTCTAGGACCACTCCTTCTACTGTGGGTTGACAGCAGACGTTAACGACCCCAGGGCATCTTCTCTGCAAGGCAGGACTCCCTCAGTATTTGGAGAGTCAGCTTAATGCGCCATCAGCATTATGGATTCTTCCATAATAAAAAACACTCTATACATCCTGTTGTATCTATTCTTATCCATTGTATACGTTAATTTTCATCCTTCTTGTTTAGCTGGCTCTGGCGTTTCCCGATGGACGACCGTCCTCCTTGTTTTGTTGTTTTTTGCTTTTCTAATGTGTCCAATAGTGGAAGCAGGCTGTTCCAACTGAATAAATGGACGCGATGTTAAGGCAACCAAGAAACTGTAAAAGTTCAGCTTCTGTTAAATAATTAAAAAGACAAAGTATAGAAAAATGCATTTAATGATAAAAGTAATTAGAGTAATGTTACTAGTTACTTTCCTCCGCAGTTACTATGTTACTCTAAGGGTAATGAACGTCCAAACATAAAAGTGAATCAGAGAAAAGGAGCATCATTATTAAAAAAACCCAGAAAAGGTAAGATTGGGGAAGAAAAATGAGACAGAGTTATCTGATCAAAGAGAAATGAAGGATGGAGGAAGGAGCCTCAGGTGAACAAAGACAAAGATTTGGAGATAAAGAACTTCATTCTACGCCTTGTAAAAAAAATAAAAGGCCAAGTTGTGCTTTAGGTTTCTTTTTTATTGTTACTTGTTGTGGGAAGAAAAGTAGTTAACTATTCAACCTAGTTAAATAAATAGAGATTGATGGATTTCACTCAGTCTGAACTTTATTTTTTATCTTTGCAAAGAGAGAACAGTTCATCATACGGCCGTTATTGCACGGTAATCAGCCCTGTTCTGATCTCAGCAGCGTTCGTTCCGACCTTATTTACAATAATGGAAAAACAGTCAGAGTCAAAACAAATTACAGACACTTTGGTTAAACAGCAACATGTTATGAATAAATCTATATAATATTATATAAATCTATAATAAAGAATCTGCTTTTTTATGGGAAGAAGGCGTCAAGGTTTGGTTGTGGTCTGTTGACCCAAATGCAGAGGCAGGAAGGCAGAAGTGATTTTCTTGTGGGTTTAATGAAAGGTTTATTGAACACAGAGGAAGGAAATCCAAAAATCCAAACATAAAAACAAAGTTCAAACAAACCGGAAACCATGGAGACATCAGGGGGGAAACTTTTACGAGGAGAAAGGCTCAGAGAGACGGAGTTGGAGGAAGTTAGATGAGGAACCAGCAATGAAGAACTAAACAGGGAGACTGAAACAAAGAGAGGACTAATGAGCAGATTGGGAGCAGGTGTGAGCAGAGCAGGAAAGGAGCTAGGGAAAAAGGAGAACACAAGAGGGCAGCAGAGGGCAACAAATAAAAAAATCTGAAGACTGAAATTAACCAGAGAACACAACAAAATAAGAACCAAACCACTAAGACTAGAAAACAAGGAGCAAAGTAAAACTGAACACTCAAAAGAAAAACGTAACAGAACCAGAAC